TGTACCTAACCTTTAGATAGCTTCCCCACAGGAGGCCAGTGTAACCGGTGAGCAATTGACTGTGGGAAACACCCGAGCCTCAGCTCAAGCACATCTTGTCTAATGGGTTAGCCACATTCATTATTTTTCAATATTTAAACTAGATAAGGCAAAACCATAAAAGCCTACAAAGACTGCCTAGTTTTTAGCATAGTGCAGAACCTACCATCTGTTTTCTATTCTCTCTTCCATGATGTCCAAGCAATGATTCACTACAAATCATGTGCTCTTGTTGAAGAGAGTGGGGGGGAGGGGGGGTAAAGAAGGTTGGAGGGGGCAGGAGACGAAAGGAAACAGATGGTATCTGATTACTATCTTGTTTCCAGGGCTGTGGTGTAGTGGCTTTCTTGTAACACAGGTTCCCGTGTGTTCAAAAATTGAATGATGGCTGTTGCATTCAGCTGCATGTGTGATTCAAGTGGTATCTGGAATAGCCATTCCAAATGTTCGGGAACTTCATGCCAGTATATGCCAGCTGCATAGAACTGAGCGAGTTGTGCTTTCTCCGAGTGCATTTTGGTTGTCATGTTATGGTGGTGCCTAGCTTTGTTGCACATGTCCCAGAATTTTGTCCAATCTATATGTGTTTTAGGGATTCGGCAGTTTGTGCTGATCATTTGTAAATTTTACTTAATTCAGCACTTTTTGCTAAAAATTGTATGATTCCTTATAGATATTCCTTGTCAGCAAGTCATTTGAGAGGCACAATTGTAGGTAAGTCTGAAAACGAGGCGTCAGGTCTCGTTCGGGAAGGACATGGCAGTATTCAGTTCCAAAATGAGCTAAAGGTTTCAATTAGGTGGCCAATGCTCCAGTTTGGGAAGTGACGTACTTCTGAATCTACAACTGGCATGGAAAACAACTTCAGTATGTCACCTGATATGTCACCCATTGAGCCCCTGGAGCATCCGAATGGTTAAGTCGTTATCTACTAAAAAGATGTCATATCGTCAGTAGTTTTGGAACTCCTGCTTATGATGAATGTGTTCCCAACCACAAAGTGCCACAGAATGCATCAAACCCTAACCAAACCGTCGTCATGGCCGATACCAGCACGGATTTATTTTCACATTCGCTTCCCACCATGGATTCCAAAGACGGGAATAACCAAAGGAGCCCCCATCATGATGACATTAAGGAGTCCAGATTCGAGGCCATGAATTCGATGGCGTCTTCAGACCATCAAGTCAATACCAACATTGCCAAAGAAAACGATGATGGAGAAATCAACAATGAACAAGGAGATACTGATGACATTAGTGTCCATCGACATACTGGTTGATCGGAAACACATGCATGTATGGACCTATAGACACTACTAAACTCACCGTTGGATGGTTTGAAGCCGAAAACGTTTGCAAGGAACAAGGCGGATCTCCCGCTATTATCAACGAAATTTGCCCTCCAGATGGCACAACCAGTAGGACACCCCTCTTTGGAATTCAGGTATGACCGAAACATGAATCATGCCTTAATTAATGCTTGCCCTCCATGGCTCTTGGGCCTTTTTCATTGTATCACTACCCGCACCCTGATATCACTCTCATTTCTCAGTATCTCTCTCCCTCCGTTTGGAATATCTGTAGGATGTGGGTAGAGCTCAGTGGGTTCCTGTCATGGCTGGCTTTAATCAGTTTTTTCATTGGGTCAATGTTGGAAGTAGTGGCATACCTCCATGTTCCAAAGTTGATACTTCTGGAAAGCCATCAGAAAACATTACACAATCAAATGGATATGGCAACTATGTCATCTGTCGCGATAAAGTCTAGGAGCGAGAGCTCTGGATCCGTCAGAGATATCTCCAACAGCTATGCTGGCCTACAGCTCCAGCATGCACAGTTGGCTTATCTCCAGCCAAAGCAGCAAGAAAGGATCGTCCTTTCCATCATAGTTAAGAAAATAGTACGAAAGATTGAGACCAATCCTGATTAGCTTGTAGCCCCTTTGATACCGCAGCAGTTGACTCTTATCCTGTTGAGGCCAGGCAGAAGCAGTAGGAGGTAGCAGATAGTACGGTTCCCAGACTGCCACTGCACGATTGAATAACGAAGGCCCCCAGCTCCTGAGGTGAGCTGGCCCAAAGGGCCCAGCAGAGAGCTCTGCTGGCCCTCCTGTCTGACTGACAGGCCCAAGTCCTTGGTTTGGGTGCCTACTGGAGGTGTTGAACATTCCTGAGGCACTACAAGGCTCCCAACCTACCTGACTACCGCTGTTCCTGAGGAAGGGCTTCAGCGAGACCCACTTTTCCAAGCGGGACCGAAACCAAGTGGAGCCCCGCCACTGGATCTGTCACTACAAAATACAGATTACTAACCACACCAACAAAAGCATAAACTATCTCTTTGTCAAGCTAATCATGACAAGCGATATTGTGCTTGGAAGTAAGTCAATCGGAGCTATATTCAAAAAGTTACATCCCCACAAAGATCCCTCCAAGTCATCGCGCGAATACATGCAGTGATTGCGATTCCAGAGAATTCCAGTCATTCCACGTACACCCTGGTACTGTTTCTACAGAGGAGTCATTATCCAAAACGTCAATCACCCATCAACAACAAGATCACAAACACCAACAGCAACATTCGAAGTATCGAGTTGTCTTGTTTCGCCCATCGAGACGATGTTTGCCACTACAAGAAATAGTCCCCCATCTACCACCTGTCCATAGGAATAGAATAGGAACTGCATCTGTCAGTCGTAACGAGCATACTAGCAGGAATTCCAAGACAAAGGATCGAATCGGAAGACAAGGAACTCATTCTGTTTGCTCAGAAGACATCGAGCTGATAATCCTTTGCTCAGCCATCGCAAATTACTTTCTGCTCAGTCCATTCTCGACAACAAGAACAACGTCCTAGTCCATTCCCACACACCTCTGAGTCGCTTCGCACCTCTATCGACATCCACCTATCGATCCTATCGATCGAACGATTCCGACTGAAGAACACAAGACTTTTAGATTTCCCATTTGCTGAGCAAGAACTCAGTATCTACACTACTCACCACACACAGTGAATCAGTAGAAACTATCTTCCAGCTACGCAACAAGGATATTCGGTGATTCCACGTTGACAGAACAAGAATTTGGCGCCATCCCTCATTGCAGACTACCACCACGGGCAGGCAACAACATCTCATTCTTCCAACAACCAATCACGACCATTACACAGTACCTCCTGTACGATCGTCCACAAGAATCAACACAGCCACGCAGTACAGAAGCACCGTCTCTCCCTCATTCAAAACAGTGAAGATCGGGCAAGCAAATACTTCTCCACTGTGTACACGAATTCTCTCCGGCAAAATCCACTCGAACCAACCTATCTCCACAACCAGACGGAGTTACAAGGATCCAAGGATACACACAACAAGCTCTCAACCAGCTCTATCCAACAGGACCATTGAACACTAGCTAACACTAGCTAGCACTGACTGCAAGCTCTCCAGTCAACAGGAACTCCATCGCGAAAGTACCCTTGCCTTCAAGCAATTCCCTCGCCTACAAGATATCCCAACAGCAAGATGACATCAAAGCAGCAAGCATCCATGGAGGACTACCTCTCTTCTTCCCAAGCCTCCGACAGGAAGTTCGGGAGCAAACAGAGAGACAAGAACAAGAAGAAGGCAGCAACAAAGAGCAACAAGAAGACATCCAGCAGTGCAAAGGACAACCAACCACCCAAAATCCCCAATCAGGACAACAAGAACTCTAAGCCCCCTAACCACATCCCCATTGAAGAACAGAGTGTTGCATCCAGCCTCTCCCACAACCACTCCTACAGCTCCCACAACAGCAAAAAAGAGTACCCAGAGCAACCCTAGAAACAACAGGCGCAACAAAGGCAAGAACAGCCCCAAGCGCACCACCACACTGGGAATGAAAAACTCTGCAGAAACGCCCTTTTTGAGTCCGCAGAAACTCTTTTTTTCCTGAAGCAGGCTGGCGTGCACTCTGCAGAAGCCCTCGAACTCTACAGTTCCGAAAGCCGGCATGGCTTTTTCTGCCGGGAGGTGTTTTTTTTTTCTGCCGGGAGGGTGTTTTTCTCTGGCAGATGACTTTTTTTCTGCCAAAAGCACCTGAAAACTGCACAGAATGGCTCGCAGAGTCGATTCATTGTTTGGCAGAAGGATTTTCTGGAGCAATTATTGTTTGCAGCTTGACAATTGCTTAGAGATGGATACCAGGCAGGCGTGACGAAACTAGCAGCAAATAAATAGCCAGTCTCTTTTTGAAATCTCAAGGCTGCGATGACATCATTGACATTTAATGCCACGGCACACTTTGGACCTAAGCCCTAACGTCTCTCCTGCAAAACTAGAATCCCCATTAGCTGTCTCATTAACCCAGACTCTAAAATGAGACCCCATTATGATGTCGAGGAATACATTAACCCACACTCTAAATCAAATCGAATTGAAACTTGTCTTACATAGAGACCATAACCGGGACTCGACTCTAAAATGAGAACCTATTATGATCTCGGGGGAAATATTAACCCACACTCTAAATCAAGTTGAATTCGAACTCATTCGAATAAAATCGACTCACTCCCACTAACACCAGCATATTTCAAAAGCACGAGTCACAGTGATGACGTGGACCCTGTTGACTTCGAAGAACATCCTGTCAGGTTCAACTCCCACAAGAAACTGGGAATGAAAGAACTGCCCAAGAGAGTCGTGCTTTCATTCACACATCTATAAAACCGTTGCAAAAAAAGAGCAGTTTAGGGGGGTTGGGGGATAAAAGAGGGGCTACAGGATCCAAATCATCTTCACAAATAAAAGAAGGTTTTGAAGGGGGGGGGGGGCTGTAGTATCAATGACCTGGAAGAGCTCGAACGTGCTTTCGAATCCAAGGACGGCCACTATTTTGAAATTTTGTTGGGACGCTTGCTGACCTCACTGAGTTTCTTGAATGTAATCCAAGGGAGTTTGAAGGTGAGGTCCTCTGTAGTGCTGACGTGCTGTGTAAGCTCACTGAGGGATTCAATGCCATTGTGATCATCCTTATGTCTGTAGTACCCAAAGCTAACAAACTGCTCTTTCAAACCAAACTCGTCTTCAATCTCTACATCTGAGCCAACCGACAATTCCTCCTCCATCGACTCCTGCTTCGCCCTGGAATGAACCTGTAGCAAAGAAAATAAGTGAGGGGACGAGAGTAGACTCCTGCTTTTTTCTCTGCTGTCTGTGTCATTACCTCCACCTGGGTTTCTTCGTTTTTCTGAGAAGGTGAAAGCAGAGCACAACACAATAAAAGATGTCTTAGCTACAACTCATCTTATCATGCTGGAACAGTATCCATTTTTGACTTACC